GTACTCTGAGTATGCACAAAGTATTTCTCAGCACAGGGTTACTATAAACAATCTTAATGCATCAGGCATGAAGAGGTTTGCAGGCTGGAGGGTGTAGCTTTTAGTTGGGGGAGAGTCAAATTCAAACTGACACATGTTAAAGATTAAATGCTGTGCAGTACATGGAGTTTCTCAGAAAAACTTGACCATTTTGTTTTTACATTTATATACCATCAAGGTTTTCACCAAGTTAGGCCCATCCAAACACTGGTCAGGATGGAAACTGCTTTGCTTTAGCAATATAACAGTATCATCTGCAACTAGTCCCTTCTCTGGTGCAAGACTGCCTGGATTCAAGTTCAGGATTTCACTCTTGTGCACAGGATTTTGAATGTCTAGAATGTTTGGCATTTTGTGGAAAGATACAGTAGAGTACTTCAAGAACTTTAATTGGGAGGGCAGGAATACTAAATGTGAAAATGACTTTTCAGAATATTAGCAGGGGTGAATTGAACCAGCCTTGATAACAATAGCTCTCTCATTCCCATACTGTGAACCCCTGAGCCCCGTATTTGCAAATTACACTGGCACGGGCTGAATTCCTGTCTGTCCCAAAGCTAAATGCACAGGTAGCCCTTAGCACTTCTAAGAGCTGGGAGTGGGTAGATAGGAAGAGGTGTGTAGTCACAACTAGAGGGTATGCAGGCTCGGGGGTCCTTGTTTGACAATCCACTCACCTTCATCGTGATGCGGCACACCTGCTTTCTGGCAGTGGCATACTGTGGTCTGGATCCTGTCGGGGTTTCTGTGGGAGGCCCCTCTGTGGTCTGCCCATGACATGCAGTGCATGGCCTTTTCTTCCCTTCCAGGTACATTTGAACAAAATCAGATTTCAAAATTGTTCACCTTCAGGAAATTCTTTTCACACTGATTTGCTCATGTGCAGGGAGGGAGGTTAAGCTGTGGGGCAATTAATAAGCACTGGAAGAAGCCTTCAAGCCCTACTTGCTGTAGTCCCCATGAAAGCAGTTTTCCCTTCCCATATAAAGTTTTCAGGAGGCCCAGTCATGGTTTACGTATAAGTTATTTATTTAAAGTAGTTTTAGCTGGCTCCTCAATCAGGAAAAGGCTTCTGGAGCAGTTTACATTCAAGCAGCAAAAAGGACAAGTCCTGCCTGCAGGCTTGCAGTCTAAAAGGAACTGATAAACAAGGAAAAAGGGATGGCAAGGAGACAAAAATATGTAAACATCCATTTTCAAATTACATCTAGTTTAGCTTTAAGGGTGTGCAATATCCCGCAGTTCTATATTGCACGTCATGATCAATAGAAGAGGGCAAGCTGTCTTTCAAGAAACTTGTATACCATTACCAATTTTTTCATTGAAGAATTCATTGTAAGCTTCTGAGGAACCACAGAATCCCCAGAGCCTAGTTTCAAAAGCACTGCACTGAACTATGCCACCAGGCATATGTCCAAGATACAAGAATACACAGCTCTTGCTCGAGTAATGTGGGCAAAAGCATTATCTGTCTGCAATTTGCAAGTCCACCCACTTGCAGTCCAAACTCAGTGGAGTGCTATAAAACTTTTCAGCACTTTAAAAGATAGGTGGTCTTTTAAAATCTATTTTATTTGCCCCACTGTTGCCTCTTTGTTTCCATAAAAACCCATTCTTATAGGGCAGTGCTTTATTGAAGTCTCACCTAAAATCTTTCTTGCTTTTTCAGTTCAGAATTAACTGCCTTCAGTTCTTTCATGGAGCTAGTGATAAATTTCACCGACTTGGAAGAGCCCCAGCCAGCAAGATGTTACCTGGCTGGGGCTTTCTCCATGCGGCACAACCCTGGCCTCTCTGCAGGAACCTTCCAAGGGTGAGGACCAGGCTGGCAGCCAGTGCTGTGGAAGGAAAGAGCTACCTTTCCGAGAAAATTATTTTGAGTGGGCACCAATTCCCATTATCCCAAGCATTGCACAGAAGCTGTGCAGCTTCCTGAGTGGGATTATCTGTTTAATATACATGCAGCTGCAAGTTTCCTGTTGGGGACATCTTCCCCTAATGCAGGGCTTCTTTTTCAGAGCTAGGCACATGTGTTGCAGGGTGCAGGTGTGTGAGAAACTTGTGCAGCGACCATGGGGGTGCAAAAACTATGTGGAGATGGCTGGCCTTGGGGATTCAGGGGACTAAATATGCCGGAAGACAGGTGCATGAGGGGACTCATCCTTGCACACCTCTTTCTCAGCAGACACCCGTAGCATGACCATGGGAGGTCCCTCAGTTATCTCTCAGTCGACTCTTCCAAGCAGATAATCCAATCACTTCAGTCTGGGTGGGTGGCTGAAGTTGTGCAAGGCCACTTGCAGGTGGATAGAGCACACCTGCTTGGGAGCAAATCCCATTTAAACATTCTGAGCCTCCTCTTCAGTTCAGAGTAAAGGTGCATAGAATTTGAGTGGAGATCTTGCTTTACATATAGGCGCTCTGTGTGTGTGTGTGTGTGTGTACATACTGCAAGATTTCTCCTCTGAACTTGCCATTCCAAGCCAGCAGCTACCATCTGGGTAAGGAAACACTGCCGCTTCAGTGCCACTGGAGCAAGTAGGAGTGCCAGGCTGCTGGTGGCATCAGGCTTTTCCAGATGGTTTCTGCTCCTTACTGCGTCCAATTGCTGTGTTTGTGCTATCATTACCAGCCTGGTCTGGTGTACCGAGAGAAAAACAAAACCCTCTCCTTATTGCTTCTGTTTGTTGAGGAGACTGGTGAACGTGGCTGATTTTAATATACTTTTGGTATTACCACCAAAGGACTATCAGTTTGTTTTAGAATTCCACACACAGGATCAGTCTCTTCACTAGGTTCTTGACTGACATTTGTTCCTGAAGTTTTTGCCTTTTTAATCATGGGTCCACAGATGTATCTGGTAGCATCTGTGGAAAGTATTATTGCCTCATCATGAGAATAAAGCACTATTGCTTCTTATCTGTCTCTGAGTCAATAAGAGCTTCATCAGCTTCCAATTTCACTTCTCTTGTGTAAGCTAATGGCTTTTTATTGGATTTTGGAAACCTCAATAATTTTATTTTAATGCTTTTATATTGTGAGCATTGATTGTCCGGAGACACTCTCTCTCAAAGGTGGAAACTACGCAGCAGCTGAAATTTGGAGTGGTCATTGAAAATGGCAGCCCTTTGTCCCATCCTGCCTGTTCATCAGGCCCTGCTGGCATGAGGCAGCCAGAGAATTCAGCAGACCTCAGAACATGCACCTGGTCTTGGGCAGATTGTACTTTAACCTTTGCAGAGGAAAGGGGAGAATGAGACACACAGCCACTGTCTGACGGAAATGGAAGAGATCAAGCAATGTGTACAGTATATCATTGTCATCCTTTGTCTAGGGAAAAATTGGCTTGAAAGGTTCTTCCAAACTTCACGTACACCTGCAGTTTCATCCTCATAACAGCCCTGTGAAGTAGGCTAGGCTAGGTGAGAATGACTGGTTTGATAGCCTATGTGTCCACTTTTACAGAGGGTGGTTATCTCTTGTTGAGGAGTTTTGAGCATGTGTCTTGTGTGCATCCTCTATTTGAAAGGCTGTCCAGTCTAAGTCCAGTTGAAAAATAAAGACCTATAAGCAAGGAGCGTGTTGAAGTTGCCCATTCACAACACTTGAACAGCTGGGAGATCAGAAACACTGGTCACCTAGTTGTAGTCCTTCTAACTGGAATGAGAGGTACTATATTTTTATTTCAGTTATAGTAATTATCTCCAAATGTCCATAAAGGCATAATTAGTATATGCAGATATTATGCAAAGATGTGCTTTCTTTATTTGGTGACTGGCTGAAGGTCATCTACTAAACTTTGTGGCTGAGTGAGAATTTAAAGCAGAACTTTCTTGGACAACATTCTAACCAGTAGACCACACTGTCTCTTTCAGTGCAGCTGCCATCTTGAACCAGCAGCTCTCACCATGCATCCATCTGAACATTCTATTATGTGTAGGCAACGGCACAGTTGAATCCTGTGAAGTGAGAATTATTTCAAAAAAAATTATGGTGCTGATAGACCAAATGGCGCAGGAAACACTCAGCATTTTTCCTTACAATACCTTCTTCTACACTAACTTGGACTAGTTTCTACAAAATTAGAGCAGATGATCGATGGAGCCTATTACCTGGGGAATTTGTGGGCTCTCCCTTGCTGGAGACATTCAAAAAGTGTTTGGACAGTCATCTCAATGGGATGGTGTAACTTAGAGTCTGCAATAGCAAGGGTTGGGCCCGATGGCCTCTTCCAACTCTACAATTCTACGATTTCTTTGATTCTATGAAAACATCTAATGAAGGGCAGAATTGCTTTATGCATCAAGCACTTGTAATGTATTGTAGCATTACAGATTATCAACTAGGAGGGTAAGATGCACATTTTCAAACAGTTCAGCACTGACACAGAGCTGTTTTCCAATTATAGCTGGCATGTATTGGAGTGTTTGAAAGACAAGCTTGAAAAGTGAATTAGCTTGCAGATATTAGTGAGTTGAGGGACCATGAGTCTCCCTCTCTCTTTCTTGGTCAGAGCCATGGAAATATGGCAAGAAAACGTGGAAAGCCTCTCCTGATGCAGCTTGCCAGTGTTGGCTACTGGGGAAAATGCATACTCTGTTATTCTGTCTGAGGCCCTAGCTGGAATATACGTGATATACATGATCCTTCGTTATGAGGACAATATGAATTGGCTCTGAGACTCCTGAGCATGGAGCCTTTCATTTTGTTTTGAAGAACTAGATAAAAGGGACCCTGGATGTGTTCTGCGCAGGAGAACGCCTGTTTTGGGCAATACTGCAAATACAAAATACATAGCTCTAGTCAATATCAAGAAGTTAATCTTGCTATTGAAAACTGTGTTTACCTGAATTTTATCTGAATCTGACATATATTGTTAGTCTAACAATATTACAAATGCTCACCCCTCAAGCTTCCTCTATCAATTTTTTTCTTTTTAAAAAAATGCTCCAACACATTAATTTTTCTTCAAACAACATTTATTTAATAAAAATAATCCCAATATTTCTCAACCATTTCTCTCACCTCTCAACCATCTCACATATATTGTAGAAAACAAGCATTAATCACTATCATTTCTCCAAAATGCCATCAAACTAAGTTAATGATAACAGACCCTTCTTCAATGGGCATATCAACTTAATAGGCTTAAACTAATTCGATAGTAATTCCCTAGGGAACTACAATTCCCATGTTCATTTGGAAAAAGCTATAGCAGTTGAATTTGTATAAAACTGTTATAGTTTTGTGGGATGAAAAGGAAGTTGATACAAGGGTCATTGGTTTAGTAGGCACCATCTTCCAGTGCTTCTTGTGCCTTTTACCACTGTCTCCTACCCCCAGGCTGTTTTAGATTCTACTTTATTTTAGTATCCAGTAACAAATGACTGAATAACACTTCCTCTTCCTTAAGTAATTGTAAACTAATGGGGAAATTAAGGGAGCATATTAGAAAGGCAAATCTTCTTGCAAATGAGGTAACATAGTGGGTTCAAGCTTTTCACACAACACTGTTAGTATGAGCTAATGTTATGCTGGAAGAATAACTGGTGGAAATTCTGGTCACATTCATGTTAAATTATGTACCAGCAGCAAATTATGTACTACCAGCAGTGGGCATGATCCCAAGCATTTAAGCATGTTATATCCTGTTGAAAATTCAGTGGGTATAAATGTGGATTGTGCTTATTTTCCTTCAATGAGATCACAACTTTGTAAACTAGTAATTCGTTTTATGTGCTTGCTAACCAATCTATGCTGAATATTATAAGATGCAGAAATTGAGCCTTTCATGTCAGGGATATCTAAATCTGAATACCTCTGATCAACAGTCTATTTGTTTATTTCCACAGGAAGCCAATACTGGTTCTCCTCACTATAAAAGATTACTTCCAGTATTTGCATTGCACTCTCTGTTTTCTTGGTAACATGCTTCTATGGGACCAGCAAACCATTCCTGAACAGCTAGTGGGAAATTAATTATCTAGAATGGAGGCCATCTGGGTGGTTCACACTTGAATTAGTGGCAAAACCAAAACACATTCCTATGAGTTTACTAATTTAATAAAGCCAAACATGGTGTTTTGCCTCACTCTTGCCAACAATAAAGCACATTGCCTAGTTCGGCTAGTAGGACTTATTCCTAGGAAGGCCAAATAGATCTCACTGCATTGCACACTCAACATGTGTTTCCTTGCTTCAGTGGAGAAGATCAGATGTGTTAGATTACGGATGACTCTATGTTACCTGCAGTTTTGGGCCAGGATGCCTCACCATGCCAGGTGCTGGAAATCTAGGGTATTGCATTCACATCCTGCTTATGTGCTTCCTTTTGGCATCTGGATAGCAGAACAGTTTTCTGGAATGGATGGGCCTTAGCCTGATCCAGCAGAGTCCTTCTTAGGTTCTTACAAAGAGAAATACAGATATTCCTTGCAAAAATAACCACCACCATCCATCCTTAGAAACATTTCTTTTGCACTTTCTCTAAGGAACCAAGGTCTGTCATTATAAGCAAATATAGGTCAGCTGCAGATCAGGGCCATCCAGTTCTCTTGCATCAAAGGTATGTATTTCCTTAATGCCAAAAAGAAAAAAAAGCAGTTCTAACATGACAGAATGCTGGTACTGAAATCTCCTTCCCAGACAAAAGTTAGGAAAAGATTTTGTCTGTCATAAAAACAATGAAAGAGACTAAATACTATGTTTTCCTATCATCAGTGCATCAGGTATATAGAACTTGTTCCAGACAAGTGTTTGGGCCACAATGTGGCTTTTTCTGCAAAATTTATCAGAAATGAGCTGCATTTTCTTATAACACTTTTGCTTTCTATAATGTTTTCAGTGAGTTTATCAATTTACTTTAACTAGGTGGTAATTATATCTGTATGATATTATATTGTCACAAATGTAATTCTAGAGGGCAACAGTAACCATTCTCTTGGACTCCACAACTACTGTGTGGATCAACTCATGCATTACTGATTTCTGGGAAATTTACTGCAACAAGTTCGTTTTTCCTTGTCATGTTTTTTCCATGTAATGTGCCAGGGAAAAAGGTTCTCTTGATGAATTATTGGATGCTTTTGGCTGATCCGAGTCTTTGAACTGGGAGGCAGCATAAAACAGTTGCCATAATCTTTAGCCATCGATTCCTGATTTAATCTTAGAATTTATTCAGTTTCCTTTTCAAGTCATCTAAGTTTGTGACCTTCACAGCATCTTGTGGTAGCAAATGCCATAGTTAAACTATGGGCACAGAGAGACTTTCTTCCTTTTCTCTGTCCTGAAAATGCTGAGCTTCACAGGATGGGTCCACATTCTAATATTATGAAAGCAGGAGAAACACTTCTTTCTAGTCACTTTCTCCACACCATGCATAGTTTTGTACATTTCTATCCTGTTCCCCTTACTCACCTTTTTCTACCTGTCCCCAAATATTGTACCTTTTCTTCATGCAGAACTTGCTCAGGTGATTTTGTTTGCCCCCTTTTTACAGTTTTTTCATCCCTACAATATCCTTTTTCAGGTATGACCGTCAGTACTGTCTTCAGTATAAAAAGTCTGGCTGCACCATTAAATTGTATAATGGCATTAGAATATTAGGAGTTTTATTTTCAATTCCTTTTCTAATGAGCTTTAGCATAGTATTCATCCTATTCAGAATAATAAATATTTTTATTGAGCTATTGACAACAATTCCTAGTTCTGTTTCCTGGTTAGTCATTGCTAGCTCAAACTGCGTATATGTGAAGTTAGGGTTGCTGGTGGGAGGAGGGGAGGGGGGCAAAGTCCCAATCTACATTTTATAGTGGATTGTGTTTGTCATTTTATTGCCTCAAAGGACCTCAGTTTAGAGAGATCTTTTTGGATCTCTTCACAATTCACTGGGGCTTTCATCATCCTGAAAGATTTAATGTCATTTGCAAACTGGATCAAGTATGAACAAGTTAAAAATGATTTGGAGTCAAACCCCATGGTCATCAATGGGAGAGGGTGCCAAGTACACCCGTAACATCCACATTGAAACCAATAAGCCCCACCAATGCTCATCTCTGGTTTGTCTGTGTCCACTGCAATTTAGGAAGCGAACCCACAATACAGAACTTTTGTCACATGGAGTTGACTCTGCAGAGTATTTCTCACATATAGCTGGATCGTAGAAGATTACTGTTGCATGCTCAAATGTTACTGGTCTTTACAATACCCTTGAAATGAGAGGATAATGCCTTGCCAAAACTCCATTCTACCTTACGGAAGTATCAGTAGAAGAGAACCCTGCAGGCCAGTAACTGAAATGATACAAGGCTTGCAATGTCACATCATGTTGCTAAATAAAAGTCAGTCTTAGTCGATCAACCACTTTCGTTTGCAATCCAAAAAACACTTCTCTGAATCGAGATGCTACATCCAAGTTGTTATTTTCTTCTGTTCTTACATGGCTGTGCTCCAATGTCACAATCACCCTTGGCATAGCCATAAAGAGACTTTTTTCCAAAATCCAATCTCCCCACCCTCCCTCTTTTCTCATATGGGTAATGCTACACCTTGAGGAGGAAAATACCTGTGGAGGTGGGTACTTTCATTCATGTATTAAACTAGGAAATTAATTATAGTCACAGGAGTTACCAGGAGTTAAAAAAATAGGGAAACTTTAATGAATTGTAGCCCTTAACCTTCTTTACCACTGGTCCCTTCTCACTACACTGTCACACTTGGACAAAGTCACAATATAACTTCCTTGCTTCCTAGATTTACTGTATCCTCAGTCAAACCTTTATTACTAAGCAGACAGTTATATCTTCATAATCATTTCTAGCTGGCCAATCATCCATAAAAAATCAAGCAAACAACCAGGCTCTGTAAGCTTTGCCTGTTCCTTTTGGAAGCAACAGTCTCATTGGCCAAAGAAGGGGAAATATCTTCAAACCCATGTCTTAAATAAAATTAGTTATTAAATAAATTAAAGTGCATACATTAGATAATGCGTGGCTTGTCACATGCCCAGAGCCATGGGAAGGGAAGCAAAGAGAAGTGTTAAATAAATGTGTCAGCATTTCCTTTCTCCTCGGAAGGCTGCTTTTTCATAGGGTTTTCTTCCTTTGGCACAGAGATGTGCTATGTGTGAGTGATGCCAAAATTGAACAGACAATTTCAGGACACGACTGGCTCCTACACAGGCAAAGATCTCCTGCAGTGGCTTGTGTTAAATGGAAGCTGAAGGGTGAAGGCCAGGTCCTGAAGGACAATGTCAGAGGGGGAGAATGTGCTCATCATCTTTTGCATTCAGCCTTGTTTTATTAACATGCTGTCCTGGAAAACAAACAAACAAACAAACAAACAAACCAACCAACATCAAAATGAGAATCCCAAAAGAGACTACCAAGCAGTAAATTAAAGCAGCAGCTGGGTTCTGATTGCCAGGCCAGGATTTTGTCCTACAGTATTGAGTCCAGATGCTTACCACCTCGAAGGTCGGATACTGTGATGAACATGATGCAAATGTCCCCAAAAGGCGACAGAGGCTGCAACTTTTTCAATCCCTCCCCACCCCCCCAACAAATCAATCGCTCAGAGAATGTCAACAGAAGGATCACACGCATCAAGGGCCAGGATTATATTCTTGTTGTGCTCCTATCTATAGCAACCGAATGCCTCTGGGAGCTGGTGTTTTAGAGATCAGAATGGCACCTCTCTGCTCTGAGAGAGTGACCTTGGTTGAGACACCTTTTTTGGTTTGTATTACAGTCCCTGTGCAGTTCCACTTACGAGTTTGTGCCTGTGCAGAACAGAATATAGGAACATGTAGAGCTTTCAAGAGGGAGTTCATGCTCATGTCCCTGAGTGTCTTCCCACACATTTTCTTTTCTTGCTGTCATGATGGCAGAGGGAACTTTTCCTCCACAGTGAGCACTGGTTAGCACATACTTTCTTCTTCATTTTAAACAAGGAATCTTTTCTAGTGTTTTGCTTAGTTGGGCATTGCCCAATATTTAAAAAAATGCATTGCTAATAGGGAAACATTTGTATTACAGGTAATGATTAAGTTAGGGGAGAAGTTTAGTGTAGGCTCAAGAACTGGGTACAGGTTTGGGGTGGCAAAGCAGGCCATTGTTCACAATGCCCTCAGTGCTGTCCCTGCCCCCCAGGAAGACTTGCATCCTCCTAAAAACTGCCCTTCTATTAATTTATTTTAAAAGTTTTAGGCCTCTCTTTAAGAGTACAACCCTCTCGAGGCAGCTTACATAGCCATAAAATAATAACACACAAAATCACTTTTAAAAGAAAATAAACACCAAGTGTAATACTAAGGAACATCTAACGTCCATAGCTAAACAGAAACAGGCATCAGCCTAAAACACCACTCAAGAGAAGGCTAATGAAAACAAGTGCCTCTTCGGAGCTTTCCTAAATATGGGATCTGATGGATTCCAGAGGTCAACTTCTACCAGCACCATGGGGCCACTGTAGAAAAGGTCCTGATGCTTGCAATTTAATTGTCCTTAGTGATGAACAAGTGGGAAGGACTTCTGTTGTTTAGAAAGCCTGGAAAATTGGCATGGGAGAAAGCAGTGATTCAAATATCTCAGGCTCCAGCAGTTTGAGGCTGGAAAGCAAAGTTGGGAAACCTTGACTTTCCAGAAGGTTTGGATTCCAACTCCTATTTGGTCCAGCCAGCAAGAGAGAAAGAGAAACAGAGAGTGAGAGAGAAGGAAAGAAAACGGGAGGTGTGTGTGTTATTTATGTTTTTGGATAATTTTACTTATGTATTTTTCTGCTACTACAGAGAAGCTATCCACAGAGAAAACAAAATATTTCATTTTACACTGATTCATAAATACAGATAATAACAAAGACAAGTTATAAACATGATTCAACTCATACCAATTAAATTGCCCCTAAGAATAAATAAAGTTGCACTGAATCCTGAACTTTATTGTTCTAACATAAAATAGAATTCCCTTTCTGTTAAAATGATTTATTGCTTGTCCTTCTCTGCCTCTAATCACATTAGTTAATGTTACTACTGAGGCCAAATCCCAAACCCTCATACACAGCCATCTTGTTGGAGAATTAATTCCTTTCAACCTATAGCTTGCTGTCATATGGGTAATTATAGAATGATAAATAGAACAATATCTTTAACATAATCAAATAACAATAGCAGTGGGTCTAAGGAGATATCAGCACCTACAACAGCCATAATTTCATTCTTTACCATCTTCCAAAAATTACTCTTTGGGGGCAGGATTAAAAAAAGTCCATATTTGCTCAATAAGTACCTGTGTTTGCATGTGTGAATGGCTCCAGGCCAAGGAAACATGTTGGAGTAACATTTCAGCAGTGGGAACAGCTCTGCCCACTGCTGGCGCACAGGACCCAAATGTCTTTTCCGGAGCCAGTTGACTCCTGCCCCAGACCTTACATTTATGAATTAATTATGCATTTAAAAGTGCCATTTAATCACTGGCTCCTAAGGCACTTGCCATGGAGTGCCAGTGCAGAGTGATGTCTACTTGCCGGTTCGGTCCTTTTGTGCGGGCTGTCCTGCAAGAGCTTCCTGATCAATACTATTGACTTGAAACTGAGGAGATGAATTGAGCAAGAGAGAAAGAGAGAGAGAATGAAGTGCTGGATGCTGCAGCAACAGTACTGCTGAACTAGCATTTTCAAACAACCATGTTTAAAATGCATGACTTTGCATCTTGCTGATAGATTTGAATGCCCAATAATTACAAAGATAGATTGGAGAGGAGGAGAATGTGCAAAAGGCAAGCTAGGCCTATGTTTATTTATAAGTATAGACAAAAAGAAGATTTATCAATAAAGCCTTTGGATCCCAAAGACATATTTCCTAAATAAATAACAAAAGGATGTTTACTGGCAGCTTCTGAAAATGCCCATCTCTGTTACCTTAATCCTAAACCCTTGTGTATAGTGAAAATAATGATAAAGGAGGTCTAACTGCATTTAGGCATGCTCATCTCTTGCTGCCTTTGCGTCTTCCTTCTGTTATTGTCTGTACTGAGGAACCTACAGTTTGGATTGTAAGGCTCCTCAGGGCTGCTCTGCTAAGCTGCACTTACCCCTTACTTGCTAGTATATCGCACTGTATTCACTGTACTACTCTACATACTTCTGAGTAGACCTATACAGGTTCTTGTGGTCAATGAGCCAGCACTTCATGATACTATGGCTTCTTTGGTGTTATTTATTAGGAGTCTTCTCCAACCTTGCTTCTGCCAGAAGTTTTGTACTACAACTCCCATCAATCCCAGCCAGCATGGCCAATCATCAGGGGAAGGGCACTGACTGAAGAAATCTTGTGCAAAAATTGTGTGTGATCCTGTGCAGTCCTGTTTTTTTTTTTTTAATCTAAATGCTTGGGAAAACCATCAGTTACATTTGTCTGCCTGTCTGTCTGTTTTTCTAGTAAGAATATCTTGCAAGCCCTACCCTCAATCACCAAAGATTTCAAAATCTTATTCAAAAATCAGATTCTAAGGTTTAAAAGGCATCCCATGCCATGGGGAAGGGGGAAGGGGAGATTAACAGTGCACATCTGAACTGAAGTAAGCCCAGTGAGTTGAATGAAACTTCTAAATAAATATGCTGAAGAATCAGCAAAATGACCAGGAGAAAAAAATCAGGGAAGGTTCATTTCATGGAACTGTTTCTCCTCAAATTACACCACAAGTTTCGTGAATATCTGGTCTACCTCACATCTCAAATCTTTATCTCACAGTTTTGCTCTGCTGCAGATTCTGACTACAGTTACAGTGTAATCACATCGTTCCAAACCTAGCTTTCCAGTGAGAAGCAAACCAACACACAAATGATTTCACTGCCTACATTCCTATGCACTTTTTGAGAAGAGAGTTGTTCAACCATGCTAAATCATTTGGCACTGACCTCCTCCTACGTCCTTCTCAGAGGCACAGCACTCAAGGCTTTGGCCAACATGCTGCTGTTTACGTCAGGGGAGAATGTTGACGTCAGCACCCCACTGTGCTTTGGAAATTTACCCCAGCTGTATTTTCTCTGGAGATCTTGAAATTAGTAGTCTTGAGAAACTGAATAAAAAAGCTCTGCGGTTTGTTTCCTTTCTTTTTTTCCCTGGCATGCTATGAAAAATTCTGCAGGAGATTCAGGGCTTATGTTTGAGTTTTAATATTTAGTTCTTGTCATTTCAAAGCAGGAGATGTATGCTTCAAGGAAGATACATTGCTGGAAAACAAATCATATAAGGAAAAGCAAGAGGTACTGGTTGTGTTTTTGCCTCATGCTTGGCTTTTCAAACTGTGTCCCAGGAAGCCCAGGGCTTTTGTGGACCTTCATAAGGCTCTTCAGTGAGACTATCAAGAGCATCAGAGAAGCATCCATGTAAGGAAGTATATTTGCTGCTACTAATTTTCTTCACAATGTGCAGCTGCAGGTAAGTGTGAGGGGAAGGCAAAGGGTAGACCAAAGGTAGACTCAAGTAGATCTGGTAGATCTCTCGATGATTTGCAGTAGGTTGAAATGGGTTTCCGATAACCAATCATTTAATAGTAGTCACAACCAACCTCTTTCATTTCAGGCTGCTGAAATGAAGTCTGAGTTAACCTGCAGTGAACTTTAGCATGAGAGGACTGTGAATTCAGTTCAGTTCTGGTATGGAAGGTGAATTCCTAGGCTCAGAATGTGCTCAGAGATACCAGCCTCATTTGGGTGTTATGCCTGAACAGGGAATGACAACGTCTGCATAGGAACTGGGCCAGGCAAATAAGTCTCACCAGTGATGTTTCTGCTCCCACCTATTCCAGCCTGTAGCACTTAGGAGCTTCCCTGCAACCAGGACTCCTGCTTCATCAGGACTCCTGACTGCGCCAAGGCCTGTTCGAGCTACAGCATGTAGAACCCTTCAGACCTTCCCACTTGATGGAGGAAGGGTGGCAATGGAGACTGGGGAGATGCTGGAGTAGGGGCTAGCGTGCACAATCCCAATCTCTATGCTGCAGCTCCTTGTTCCAGTACAAGGCCTGAACAGGGACACTCTGTTCTTTAATCCTGTGTGTGTAGCTAAGATGGCTCTGTTGGGTGAATCCGGGTGTTTTAGTGAAAATAAAGCCAAGTCTGCCTACCCTTCTTCTAGGCTATACTCTCAGTCATTGCTGGACAGTGATAGCACCATGACCTGGCTGTGCACCCAAGAAGTTGCTTCTTGCTGTGGTAGGCATATGAGTTTCTTCAATGGATAAATCAGTGAGACAGGTCATTGCAGGTAAAAAAGACTGAACATTATTGACCTAGAGAAAATAAGACGAAGGGTACGACAGTAGCCCTTTAAAAATGTTTCTGGAAGGAGAAAACTTTTCATCTTTTCTAGTGAGGGCTGTTAAGAGAAAGAAGTAGAACCCCTCCCCCAAACTTAACTTCAAAAGCAAAGGTACATAAAACCTGTTTCTAGGACTGTGTTAGGAAAATAATCCTATTATCATCTGTTGGGAATGTTTCCTGTTTTATATCAATGAGTTATAGCCCCAGTTCCTAACTCCTTCAGTCCTAGGTTATACAAAAGCATTCTTGCTTGTTCTGTGCTATATCACTCCTTTAGCTCTGGTATGGAGTTCTGTTTGAAAATGAAAACATTTCCATTTTGGAACATGCCAGGTAATTCAAAGTTGGCAGCTCCAACTAAGAATGGAAATTGAGATTTTATAGCAGGCTTCCTCCATCTATTACCACCCCCACCCCAGATTTTTTGAACTTCAACTCCCAACAGCTCCAGCCAGTGTGGCCAAAAGCTAGGAATCCTGAGATTTGTAGTCCAGAGTCTTTGGAGGGCGGTAGGTTGGGGAAATTTTGTCTATAACACCTGAAGAAGGTTGTGCAATGTAGATTTGTGCACAACCACAGGATGGTTTGGTGTTTGGGCCATGAAATTGGAAGCCCAAAGTAGTCTAAGGTTTGGTGAGTCAAAAATCTAGCTAAACAGAAACTTGCAAACCTCCTACTGCAAAGAAATGTCTGGCCAGGGTCTCCCAGGACCCTCATATTGTTTATCATTAATCTTTATTCCTAATAGGTCCATCTCATTGAATAATGCTATATACCTTCCTGCTAACTTCATCCCTGGTGCTCTGCCAGTGCTGTGCCTTTGATTGGTGATCAGCTTCCAGAGACAAGGATTCCATTTTATCAAAGAAAAGGACTGCTGCTCTGTGGCAGAAAGACCTCCCTGTATTACTACTGCGACTAACTCCCCTGCAGTGGCTCCTTGCACTCAGGAGTAGGGCTAAACTCAGTGGAATATGGAAGATCCATGGCCCTCCTGCTAGCTTTTTCTTTCGTTAAAAGCAGCCAAAGATGAAGGGATTTGGATTAGGAGGGGATCTGGCCAATGCATGGCAGATGGTAGTTCACTCTTTTCCCTCGTTGTTTCCCCAAGTTAACCGGCTCCCGCTCAATGGCTATGGGCCACCAGGAGGATTTTTTAAAAGGAGAGAAACATCATGAATACCTGCCCTCCCCTGCCTCCTGTGGCTTTATGGTGTGTATGATTTAGATCAGCAAAATCATGCAGTCCCCACCCCCCTCACACCCCCATCCAAATTTGGCTGCCTTCAACCAAAGAAAATAGCTCCAGAAGACCCGCTAGACAGAAAGGCCACGTAGGGGTGCGGCACAGCCAGGCTCCACAGGAGCAAAGTGGCAGAACATGTGGATTAACGGGGATGCTGCTGTCACCTGCCCCTCATACATCCATGCTTCCTCTGAAAGTTAGTCGCAATCCTTATGGTGGCTGGAGAGGAAGATGCCTGACTTTTCTCAGAAACTGTATATTCTTCCCTGTGTGATACAAGATATTTTCCCTGAAGACCCATTTGCTTTTCAAAAGAATGGCTTCTCGTGGAGATGAAACTGGCAGAGTTCCTTTGTTGATAAGACTCTACACAGCTAGCTGGGGCTATGAAGACTGTCAGGGCGAGTGTCTGCATTTCCCATTTTACAGTACACCACTGGCCATGATACATCCTAATGAGCAGGAAGGGTGGTGTGGCAATGCCAGCAGGTGGGCAGAAGTCCAGAAGGCAAGTTGGAGACACCCAGAAGCCTGATGTGGTCTGCAGGCTTCCACTAAGGAGCAGGGTTTTATCTCAAAGTACCTCTATACACCATTTCTTTCTGTAACTCTCTATCTTCCCTTTCCCTATAGCCACTGAAAAAACTCTCTCTCTGTAGTCAAGTCTCAATATGCTTTTAGCTTTTCTGCACTGCTTCTCCCTGAACATTCAATGCACTAACACTCAAGTGCATTATCAGATGGATCTGACGATGAAGCCCTCTAGCAGGAACACCTGCAATTCTCCTGGTAAAAGACACAAGTGCAAAACATAAGTGCATCTCATATTGGAGGCTTTTAAGCACAGAGGATGCAGAGACAGCCCAGCTTACTATCTTTTCAAGGAGAACTTTTACTGGACATACGTAACATTGAAGCTCATTAAAATTAAACATGCTGTTATAATACACCATGTCTTTGCTGTTCATGTCCTTCACACTTCGTTTATGTGTCAAGAGAATTCTAAAACTAGCCGTTGTTGGAAATGCTGGAACAGTTGAAGGTCCAGCATCAGCAGTTGGCATGGGCAGGAGACTGCAGAAGGCCCAAAACTGCCACTTGCCCACAGTGCCCCATTTAAAATATGTGTGTTCTGAGTTGCAGCCATCCAGGCTAAGCAGACACTGCCTTTAGGAGGGACTCGGGAACAACTTAAAGACCACCCCATACCCTCATTAGGTATGTCCCACAAAGGCAGTATCCAACTGGTTCAGAGCACTCCTACTCAGAATATAATGATGTTCACACACAAACGGCTTAGAATGGACACAATGGGTTAAAAAAGGCATCATCTATCCTGTATCAAACTGTGCTTTGTAAGGAGAAGAGCATCCACATTTCCCTACAGTGAAGCTCCAAAGAGGCACACTGGCTGGCTCAGTTCCTCATCTTCATTTCTCACATTGGGAAATAAAGAGCTTTCATCCTGCAGCATCGCATTCATTCTGCAATAAGTTATAAGAACAGAGGAACCCAATGGTCGGAGAGGTCTATTTGCTGGGAAAACACAGGAAGCTGCGTTATCCAGAATCAAACTGTTGGTCCACGTAGTTTGGTACTATCCATTCTGGTCAATGCAGCAGTCCAGGGTTTCTAGCAGAAGTTTTTTTCCTATACCTCTTAACCTGGAGATGCCAGAGATCAAATGTGGGACCTTCTGGACGCAATGCTTGCATGCTCTGCCACTGAGCTGTGAGCACCATAAATAGTCAATGGCAAGCACATACAGGATGCGAGGGTAGAAGATGAGGCAAAAGAATGGAGAGGAAGTCCTTTTCTTTGCATCACCTGCTCCACCCACCATAAATTAGGAGTTGGCCCCACTTGTCTAAACGTGTCAGTATCCACAACTGTATATTATGGGGAAGGGGAAAAGATAATGTTCTTTAGGTCTAGGAAAAATGTTTGCACACCTCTAGAGTAATTCTGATTCTAATGTAATGGAACAGAGTTTCATAATGTCCTGCTAGGCTACAGACAGCCCACTACTTCTCATTCTTTTGCAGAATCATATTGATGAATTAGGCACTGGAAGCAAAGAGTTAAAGTCAAGTGAGATGTTTTCTTGTAGAACTAGATCACAGTTGGAGCTCGGCATGTGAAATCTGTCATTGACATACTAATGGATGCTAGTATGAAAAAAGACAGCCATACAACTTACATGAAAATGTGTGGAATCGAAGTGAACCTAGACATTCTACACAGCCATAAAATACTTTAATTATGGCAATTTTCAGATTAAACAAGGAATAATATTGTCATGATAAAAAATTGCAAGTAAGAGCAAAGGATTTTTCCATAGTTTCTCACATATGGTTGCTCTCAGCTCGGTCACTACCATCTGCAGATGAGTAGACCAGGGCCAGTACAGAGCTATATAAGAAGCTTCTTGATTGTTTTGCTATGTTTTTAAAGAATCTGCACCAGTGTTTATTTCTTGCCTACAGGCAATTCACCACCACAGCATCCCTGATAGCTGGTCATTTAGCCTCTGCCTTAATGCTTAACTTCTCAAGAAGGTAGGGAGTCCTACATTTTCCCAGGCAATCTCATTCACTGCTGAACAGCTGCTCCCATCAATTCTTCCTAATATTTATTTGAATTTGAACCCATTCCAATTCTTGTAATTTGAATCCATAGTTCCAGTCCTGTCTGGACCAAATGAGAAGAAATGTGCTCCATTATCTATATGACATTGAAAATAGCTGCCGTGTAACATTTAACTCATCTCTTCATTAGTCTAAACATACCCCTGTGTTCAAACTTTCCTCATAGGACTTGTTCTGCAGGTGCCTTGCCCACTTGTTGCCTTTGGTCAGCAGCTCACTGGACCAGCCTCTGGAATATTACTGCCTCCACCCCTCGGGTCCCCACCTCTAAAATGGAAATAACCTCATAGAGCTATTCTGCTCATGGAATACTATTCATTTCAATACGGGCAGGAGTACAAAAAATGTAAGCACAAACAGAATGCAAACAAAATCAGTTGGGACAGATCTTGTGTTCAAGGGGGATTTTGTTTCTGTGTCAGAGATACATGCAAGAAACTGCTGTGTCTGTATGCAGAACTATACTATATGCTGATTTTTTAAAACAAAATCTTCAAAAAGAACAACCAAGAACTGATAATTGAAGGGCATTCTGAAAAGCACACGAATAATCAGACATGAAAAGATTGGGATGATTAACATTCTGTACTGAAACTGGGAAAACTGAATATGGTGAGCAAAACGGTTCAGTGCTAAGTGATTTTGCACTGGGGATTTTGAACACTAAGATTGGAAGACAGTTTGTTCAATCTGAATTTTTGCATGAACATAGCCAGTTGACACCTCACAAATGGGACAAACTGGAACACATTTGTATTCTGAAACCTGCACTTTTCAGAATTTTTAAGTGCAGTTCACAATTCAGAATATTAGAACAAAAATGCCCATATTTGGGGAAAGTATGCACACACTCTTTATGTTAAGAAAAATCACTTGTAAAAATTAGGAAATTATCCTAAAGATGCATATAGTAGGATGAAAGTGCATGGAAATGCACATGGATTTTAAGTTGACGTTTTAATGCTGAATTTGCAGACTAATGCAGAAATGGGCCAAAATTAACTTATGATTGGGAAAACGTGAAACTGAGTAAAATGGAAATTAACCTACAATCCTTCAGGAGGTTCTCCTGTCCGAGGCCCAATGTCATTAATGGAGGCAGCAAGACCATGCTCTAGGATTCATTTCAGTAGGGTTAGTGCAGGAGAAATTCAGGCATGATTGTCTTTTCACTGTAAATGAACTCATTTGTACTTAAAAGATATGAGATACAATTGTAGCAGGCTTGCACCCTTGGGATGAGAAAGGCTGCACACATAAATCAATCAAATTCCAGACAAAATGGTGAAGATTCACTTACCTTCAGCCTCTTGGGAGCCAGTGTGTTCTACCGCATATTAATTCTGTGTTTCTTCATTGCATGGCTGAGGTTGGCCTTGTTCCTTATTCCTCATTTCTGTCCCTGTTTGTACAGATTCATTCATTCTGTCTAGCATTTCTTTACTGAGAGACTTGGACTCCTCCCTATGTAGAAGGCAGGCAGGGGCATCATTTTCTTTCACAGGGATTATTTGCTTCTTGACAGCAGCAATTTGGATCTCTCCCACTTGTCTTACAGCTGACAATCCTCGGCTTCCACCACCTGCTTCTGCCTTGACTGGCAACGTGCTGAGGTTTTCTGCACTAGGGTTCCTTTCAGAAAGTGCTTTTTTGTCTAAGCCAGCTTCATGGAAAGTGGAATTGATTTCCTCAAAGGCACTCCCAGAAGCCTGTGCCGTGTTCCCTTCCTGGTGAGAGCGGCTATTTATACAGTTGCCCTTGTGGGACAGAGCAGTCCCAGTTACTGCCTTACTGAGGCTGGGATCTGCCTCAGTTTCTTCCACAGCGACTGCAGGTGTATCTTGGGGAAGACACATCCTGTCTTGTTCATTTGCACCCTTGTCTTCACCTGCAGATGGGCTCACTCCACCTATTTTGACTTGTGATGTGGAGTGTGGCTTTTCATTCTTCTCTAACCCGGCCAGGCAATTATGCTTCTTGGCTTCTTCACAGGCCATAGCTTGACTCTTTAAGTTTTCATTACTACTGGATTTCTAAAATGACAGGTTTAGTGCTTATTCCACTATTCATTTAAAGAAAGGACAGATTTAGTTCTACAAATTTGGAGTTAGTCAAAATAATCTTTCAAGGATTCCTCCCAACACACACACACTCTTGTGAATCTGCAGTTATGAAAACAGGTTGCTAAAATGTGTCCGACCAGCTGGGTAAGCTTAGCCTGAAGATGGGCTAAGTGGTGTCTGTTCTCACAGATGGCCATTAAGACTGTTCTGTCTTTCCCCCCACAGTTTCCTAAGGACTGTGATGATTCAAGATTCTGTGAGAGCAACAGACTCAAGCTAAGTTTGTTGTTTGGGGCAGTCTGTGATAGAACTGGATTTCAACATCCTACAGAGCTATGGGTTATCCTGGACATCTGATGGGGAGCAGAGAACCACTGGAGTGCAGATGTTGTGAAATGTTCTCTTGGAAAAAACACTGTAAGTCTCCAGTGACTTCATTCTTAGGAAACTAATCACTGAGAAAGCACTGGAGCCCATGGAACTTCTCACCATTCAGAAGTCTGGTGCACACATTCAACATTGTAGCAGCAATAACCTACAAGAGGTTCCTTAAACTGATGTGATAACTCAAGTGCAGCATCAGGATTTCACAGGGCCAAAAACAGGTTATGATTAGGATATCAGATATCTGTTAAATAATGCAATGCACACTGTCTCTGCAGCAGGAATGGGGAATTTGCAGCCTATCAGTTAATAAGGCCCCTGGCCCTACCTTCTCTGCCATGGAGGTATAAGTGCTTTTTCCTGGTTTAGCACTGAAAAGGACTTGTTTTTTCAGGATTTTACTCTACTCTGCTGCATTAAGAACCAGGGGCTGGTAGTTCTGCATTAATTAATTTACAGGGCTGATATGAGACCAAGTATATTATTTTGCTTGCTACCTGTATCCAAGCACATATTCAACAGACTCACCTGATTATTATGGTCATCCTTTGCAAGGTGCATTTCTTCACCTTCCTTGGCATCCCATCTGTAAAACAACAGACAAAGCATAGGGGAGCTGTCAAATCTTTTGACTATAAAAAGGGATTTCTGGTCCTTGTGGGGCAATAGCTTCTTTTGCCTAACCTCAGAGTACTATGCAAGCCCCACCTACTTAGTTTGAAGAAAGTTCATTCTGGTGGATCTTGCACCTGGCTTTTTTAAATCCAGAAGAAAGGCAGGCATATTCAACTAGTTACACTTAGTTTTTCTTAGTCATTAAATTCATAGTTTTCAGGAACAACGACAAAGGTTTGTTAGGAATGATGTTGTGTTAAGAGTTGAATGATAAATTTCTTCAGGCTGCACCATATTTTTTGTTTATTGAATAATGTAAAGCTACATATTTCTTCTTATAAGCAGGAACCTGAAATGCACAGCCTAACCATAACAAGACTTATTCATTTATGCCAAGTATTGGGAAATTAATCAAAGGTGAAAAATACGCCTTTTCTCTGTCTGTAATACTCTACTGGCAGAATGAAAGAGCTCAGGCACAATCCTATTTATGTTTAGACAGAAAAAATGTCCTATACCACCCATTATCCTGTATTCTGTCTAAATATGCATAGGATCGTGGTTTAAAGCACAGATCTACCAACAATCCATATTGCCTGTGGTACTGGAAAAAGAGGTTTGAGGTTGGGGATTCTCAGCTGTTTCTGTGTGTCCAAGAGATATTCAAAAGAAAAATTGATGTGGCCAGGGATGTCTCCTGCAGCTGTTTATATCTGCATGTCTCCCTTTTAAGGAGCACCGTTGTAAGCCATGTTAGCTTTTATACAAGCTCTTATAAAATTGCTTAAATCTGCCAGAATTCATCATCACAGCTTTTATTTTATTATTTTATTTATTATATTTATATCCTGCTTTTTTCTGTCAAGGAACTGGAGGCAGCATACATAATTCCCCCCCTTCTCTCAATCTTATCCTCTGCACAACAATCCTGTGAGGTAGGTTGGGCTGAGAGTTTGTGACTGCCCTAAAGTCAGCCAGTGAGACCCTAGATCACCCGAGCCCCGTTCCCACACTCTTCACCACTACACCACACTGGCTCTGTTCACACGTAACAACAAACCATGCTGGAGATAGCTGGTCATTATGTTGAATTCAGCAAGCATGAGGAAGTGTGACTTGCTTGGTTTCTGTGAATCCTCACAGAGAACCAACTGTCTGTTCTAAGATTTCTGTACTTCATCACTGTTTGTCATTATCTGAGAATTCAGTTCCAGTGTTTTTCCGAGATTTCCCCATTTACACCAGTGAGTTTGGTAGCAAAAGCAGCCACAGCACCGGTGGCGTCTCCAGCCACCCTTTTCTGCTGCCCTGTTCTGCCTGGCAATTGCTGATTGCCTGTCTCCACACTGTTTTCCCTGCTGGTGCACACCTGATGCCCAGCTGCCCTACTGCCATGATGCCCACCTCACCACCTTGCTGTGAGGCCTGCCTCACCTTGCTGTCTTGGCATGATGCCTGTCCCACGAGTCACCTCACCACAATGCCCATCTCTTGGGATGGGCAAAGCAGTGCGGAACCTTCTGAGACGGGCAAGGTGCCTGGCAAGGTGGGCATTGCAGCAAGGTGGTGAGCCAAGGTGGGCATTGTGGCAGCAGAGCAACTGGGCACCAGAGAGCATGTGCTAGTAGGGAAGACAGAGAGCACCTCCAGCAGCAGTGAAGGCAGCTGCACACAGCACTCTTGCCTTGTTGTTGTTCTGTGCTGGAGCAGCACCTGGTGAGCATGCTGCCCTCACGCTACAGAGGGAAGCCCCAGTCTCCTTCTAGGGAAACTGACCTGTTCATGGAATCAACCGGCAGTGTGCAGGTTCCTGGGTGGGCATCCCAGGGAGCTTGTCCTTCCCTCTCTGCCTCCTGCCCCTTTGCTCACTCCCACCCTGTCCCCAACAATCCAGGGGTCTCCCCGCAAGCCGCAACACTCCCTCCTAACAGGCTGCTGGCAGTTTCCCAGCCAGATGACTAGACTGGCACAGGCAGGGAAGTCTGGCCAGCACAATCCAGGTGTAGTAGCTGATGACAGGTGTGGAGAGTGGTCCGCACCCCACCAAGCAACTGCTGTTCATACCAGTCTAGAAGGTTAATGGGAACCCTGCCCATCTGAAAGCACTTTTGCCAGAGGCAATCCCTCTCTAGCCCTCCTAGGATGATAGTCCAAGTGGTCTATCCTGGTGACCTTTGCCAGTACAACACACCCTACAACAGCTTTCCTTAGGCTCTGCCCAAATTTTTGGGATGAGAGCGCCTATCAATCCCAGCCAACAGGCTACTGGGAATATTTGCTGAAGATAATGAAAGACATAGTCCAAGATGTCTGGACAGTACCAAGTTGTGCCATATAACTTAGTTTCCAACATTTAGAAGAGCACTATTGTGGCAGTGAGTAGGAGAGAGAGATGGCAGGGGAGCCAGTAGGTGGTAGCAGGACAAGACCAAGTAAGATGGGGGAGTTGTGGTGGCGGTGAGCTGGCATTCCTGCAAAAACCTGCTGCTGGGAGACCACTGTAAGACAGAACAATTGGAGAGTCTGCTGGACCACAGTGGTTTGCTACACAAATGTTGAGGGTTTTTTAAAATAAAAATGAGGGGGGTGCAGGAAATTTAAAACAATGGAGTCTTAAAATGCAGGTACAGCATTTTTACTGCTTTCATAAAGAGCTTATATGCTCTGAGAAATGCAAATGATACAGCAGGGCCTACTTACCAGAAGAAACAATACTAATATCTGCAAGAAGCAATTCTGTGATGCAGCCAAGCTAAAAGTTCCAGTCACAATGAGTCTAACTAGAATAAACTCATTTGAAAACTCACAGAAAAGGAATGACACAAAAATGAGTCTGGTTTCTTATATGTATACGTACTTATATGGTAACCTAACTACATTTGATAGCCAGAAAATCCAATAACAACACCTCTCTCCAGAAACAAGTTCTACTTCCTATCCATAACAACAGCTTGTCATAATTTTAGACAAATACCTTCACTGTGGCCATAATGATACTGTAATGCTTTGCAGTTGTGTTATTGTCCATATGTGGACAATTCTAAGATTAAAAGTCATGCCAATGGGACTTTAAAAAGCATTTCTGATGTTTTAAACCAAACTTTAATTGGATTTTGCAAAGCATTGAATTACATCTGTATGATTCTATGGCTTTGTAGCTCAAAAAATGATAAAAAATAGTGACATGGAGATGTTGAGGCATATATTTGGTTTAAATCAAAGGCTCTGAATAAGCTCCATGTCTGAATAAGCTCCATGTCTGAATAAGCTCCATGAAACTGCTTTTTACTGAATAAAACCACTTGTACTTCTAGCCCAGCATTATCTTCAGGAAGCAGTTGTGGACATTGCTTCTACTTCCCTCTTCACCTCTCACTCTCTGGGTAGTCATACGATTACCCAGGACCTAGAGCCCTGAACTTTAGCCCAGAGGTCAGGGCTTAGCTGCATCACTGAGTATGGTCTGAATAAGAACATGAGACCTTAAGAAAAGCCAGGCTGGATCAAACCAAAAGCCCATCCAGTTCAGCACCCTGTTCACACAGTGGAAAACCAGCTGTACATAAGATTTCTCAAGCAGGATGGGTACAAGTTTGCCTACTCAGCATTTGTATACAGACATGATAGCTTCCTCCTCCATGAATTTGTCTAGTTCCCTTTTAAAGGAATCCAAATTTGAACCCATCACCACTTCCAATGCCAGTGAATTCCTTAGTTGCACTATACGTTGTGTGAATAATAATTTGTTTGTTGCATTTAACTTCCTAGAACTTCTGCCTCAGGGAATGTATGTGTTTTCCCCAGAGTGATATAATCTATTATTGAAATAATTAGTTACTCCTCACCCTCCCCAAAAACACAAAGATGATAATTGGTAGCTTTTTAAGTAATAGCTCCTTGACCACTGTCAGTTCAGTTTGTGAACAGACAGCAAACGTTTTTAAACCAGCAACCAGTAAAACAAGTCAAGTACTGGAGATGGTGGCAGTGAATATGAAAGTTGCATGAGTTCTGTGGAGGAGTATCAAACCCCCACTCTATAATTTCAGGAGCGGTACCCTGTGTTTTAAGAGTACCCTTTTCAATTACTCTAAAAGCTACAGCAGAAACCAATGTATGTTTACTCACAAGTAAGCCCATCAACGTTAATTAGATGTATTCCCAAGGTAAGTGGGCATAGGATTGAAGGCTATTTTAAAGAAGGGGTAGGATGCCTTGTTGGCTCATGGGCTGATTGGTTCCAAGACAAGCATGGCAACATCCACATGCCAACAGTGGGTGAGGCTACAGCCCAAAGCAGGCAGGGCCCATCCACTGCTGACATGCAGTCCTCTAGGGCTGTCTTTTGAAGTAGGATGTGAAGTCAACTCAGCTGCAGCCTGGCAGAGCGCTCCCTGAGGCCCAGTCTACTGCCACTTGCAACGGGGAGGGGAAAATATATCCCTTCCTGCTGTGTTCTTATGTTCCAGCTTGGTTTCTGAGTAGCCCATGCAGAACAGAATGGAAAGTATGGAAATCACTTTGATTCTTTCACCAAATAAGAGCTCTGGAGTCTGTTCAAAACATTCCTCAGTCATACACATGTCCTATTGGAAACTTTGGTTCTGGAGTAGATTAGAAACTAATGTAATGAAGAAAGAATGAGAACTATAAAGTCAGGCTACATTAATTTAATTGTCTGTGGTTACAACATAGGCTGTTATGATCAAATGTTAAGTTATACTTTTTCATCATAAATAGTATAAATGAAATTGTCCTGATCAGATTTGAAAGAGACAAGTCAGAATGCAATGACCCTTTTGATTGAATTCTGGAGATACCTCAAGCTAGTTATAAGCTAACATAATAGCCTTCATTACCTTAAACTTTAGGCTGCACAAATACATTTCATCACAACAAAGCACAAAAAAGTACAGACATGAAAAGTCACAGTACCATCCCTTTCCGTGTGTTCTCTTGTTAATTACCTTTCTAACATGGCCCACAATCCCTATTTCTAGCGCCCTTTGAGTTCAACCACACCAAGGAACCACACCAACCACACCACTTAGCTTGTTGCTAAGCATACACTGAACTCATTTTTTTGTGCCTGATTGCATATTATAGGTGGACTTGTGATGGACCTTTGCATATTAGTAGGCAAGCATGTACAGTATTGCTTATTGGGTTATTTTAAAAGCAAAGAAGAATCTTGTGGCATTGTGCAGGCTGGCCTGGCATGAACTTTCAGTTACTGGAGACCACTTTATCAAATGCATTGAAGTGTTCTACATCCCTAGTCCCAACATGGGTGTAGAAAAATATATGCACTAGGCCAAATGCAATAAAATATATAAGGCTCAAAAGCGCCCATTATGTACTGCTCAGATTGACTACCTATTTATTGACATACAAAATTTAAGGTGCTGCTTTTGATTTTTGAAGCCCCAAACTATTTGGGACTAGGTTAAGGACTGCTTGTTCCCATATGAACTTGCCAGAGTTCTAAGACCAGCATTAGAGGCCTTGCTCTGGGAGCCACAAACACTAAGAGACACTGTGGCCAGCACCAATTAAGTGGTGGCCCCACCTCACTAGAACTCTGTGACCAGCATACAGATGGCCCTAGCATTACTGGTTGCCAAGAGATCCTTAAAAACATTGTTATTCCAGACTGCATTGGGTTGAAGCATTGTGCTGGAAATTTTAGCTGCTGGTGGTTTTAGACTTTAACTTGCATTGCATATTCTCCCAGTGTTTTTCTGTTTTACGTATTTTAAAACATTTCTTTTAAAACATTTCAGCTTCCTTGTGAGAGCAATGTGCTCTGAAAATAGTGGTGGAAATGTATTAGCTAAATAAGTAAATAACTAATCACACAATTTTCATAAACATTTGTAAAAACTGATGTGTAAATTGCATGCTTTCTGGTCATTTATTCCCTGTATTGATAATCGCAATTATTAGAAGTCAATAAGGTATGATTGTAAAAATAATCTGATACAGAAAGAAGGCTAGCTACTTCTGGCCTGAAATTCCAAATTATTACTCAAAATGTGACAGAGAAACAACCTAGAGGCACCAATGTCCCTTTTACAGCTGCTACCCTACCTTCTGGCTCTGCCTGTCAGTCTGTCTTTCCCTCGGGCTTTACTGCTCATGACTGGCAAAGTCCTGGAGGCAGACTCACCGGTGCTCCTTCTATGTTGTCCTCCACCTGAAAAACATTCCACACACAGAACTAGAGGCTAGGCAGTCTAAATTCAGGCCATGGAAGAAGAGCTTTCCCTTATATGCTTCAGCAGAAGCAGGGTAATACAGCTTAGAACTGGGAGATTCCTTTCATCATAGGGAAATGCAGTAAGCAGTGACAAGGCAATTGCATTGAGGAAGGTGGGAAAATGTCATCTTTCACCAGGTCCAGGACTGGCGCTACCATTAAGCAAAGTGAAGGAGTCAGCCCAGCTGCCAGATGCTGAGAGGCATCAGCAAGGCGCCACAGGAATTACCTGTATGCCATATGCCTGCTCCCACCATAGATATTAGTCTGTGGCTTCAGGTGGAGTGAAAAGAAAATCAGCTTCTGCATTTACAAAAAGCAAGCCTTTTCCTGGGTTCTACTCACCTTTGCCTTCAGAAGGCAATGATCGATGCTGGGATTTGCGGGGATTCCTTGCCCCTTGGAAGAACAAAGCATGAAAAAAAATAAGATCATAAATCAGAAAATTCTACCGCAACCCACCCCACAACTCCAGAAATGCAGCATAGCACGGAATACCTAATTTAATCACACAAAGTGTATTCATTGACCTTCTGCAACCTGGCTCCCTTCAGATTTGTTAGACTATAACTCCCATCTACCCCAACCATGAGCTTTATAGTTCAACACAATGAGAAGGCACAAGGTTAGGAAATGCTTGGCTGATTCGGTCATCTGACATGAAAAAAGTTACCCTAGGACTGGGGGCTTTTCTGTATGAAGCACTTATTGTGCGCTTGTGATCCTTCACACCTGGAAGTTTGTGGGACTTTCTTATGATAGTCTTCCCACACCTTTTAGCTGCTTCACCCATATTTTCTCTGAATGTGGAAAATACAGTATAATTTTTGCTATTGCTTTGAACCTACCACCAAATTCCAATGTACTATTGTTAATGTTTCACTGTCGCTTGGGTGAGGCGATGCAGGGGGCATGGTTGTGATGTTGGCACTGAGAAGGCAGTGGGAGCATTGCTTTATGTGGCCTTGCCTGGCAGTTCCTGCCTTGGGCCATTCTGACACTGCTGCCGCACATGCTCACAACAGGCTGTCCTTGCTCCTTCCCTTTCTTCTGCAGCCTGTTTCTTTCTGCATGGATGATTCCACTGCAGCACTGAACTGGGGGCGAGGGACTAGGCAGCAACAGGGAATTCCTGATGTGCCAGACACTGGAGATGGGGGAGAAGCAGGGAGGGAGACCAGAGGAAGGAAGGATGCAATGGCATTCAAGGGGCCTGGTAACTCAGAGATCCTGCCATTGCTTTTCCACCTCCCTGCTCCTCCCATGGCTTCTCCCCCCGTGTCTTTCCAAAGCTTCCTGAATGCCTCCTTCATCCTCTTACTCAAGGAACAACTAGATGAACCATATATCTACTCTGAAGTAATCAGAATGGTATTTTCAGTGGCCCTAGTAACAGGTAAATCACAATGGTCTTATTCACAAGTATATTGGAACAAATCGTACTAACAGGGCTGTTTATTATTTTTATTTATTTATTGCCTTTGAATGCTGCCCTATAGCCAGAGCTTCCGGAGCGGCAATGCAAACCACACGGAGATGGCTGCACTTGCTTGCTTTGGGAAGGTGAGAATGTTAGGAGTAACAAATGGTACAATCCAAATACTCTGCCCCACCCAAACCATAAAGGTGCGTCTGAACAGGAACTTGCAGCTGAGAAATGGCACAATATTGAAATACTGCCATAGTGATTTTACATAACACTCACCCATCTACCCACACAGGAAAGAGCAGGGAAAGCAGTAAGGAAAGCTGTTACGCTTTTCCAGGGTATCTAGTGCATGTCTTCTTTTACATGGATAATAAGGGGAACTTGCGCAGGCCTCCTTGTTTGTGCATGTGTTGTGCAATAACAGGATGCTTGGCTGCACTTGCAAAGGTGCACTGCAGCGCACCCGCAACCATCCTCAGTCAGCCACAGCCCCAGGGTTCTTCAGGCGAGAGGGGCATCAGAGCCCGTGATCTTCCTGCCAGGGTAAAGCAATGCTGTACTTCCATGGCAATGCATCTGGGAAGTTTCACCCACAAGTCAATGGGTGTAAAGAGGCACAAGGCATTATGTAGGAAAGCATGTAGTTAGAGCTCTCGGCATGATCCGGGAGACAACACAGCAGGGTAGTGCTGGAATACAACACTCATGTGGAAAAGCCCAAAATGAAACACAAAAGCAGCTGGTATAATAGCAGTAAGCAAAGCAGCTGGCCTCAAGGTTTCACTTTCCTTGAAACTTTGCCCCAGACTATGCTATGAAGGCTGCAGATTTGATGCTTGCCTGTGCCACTGCAGTGCCACTTTTATTTGCAGAGTTTGGGGATGGAGTTCTAGAGAATAAGAGCTAAATAAGTTAACCTTTTTTTCATGGTACAGAACACAAATTATTATTTTATTTGCACTTTAACTCTGCTTGGAACTGTTCCTTATTCCAAAACTAAATAGAAATAAATAATCCACACAGAAAGGAGCCTCCTCAGTGAAAGAGTCACAACAAGGAGTGTTGTCCATGATTCTGCCCTCCCTGCCCATTCCAGAATACTGAACATGCTGCTTAATTGTGAGATTAAAGTTGCTTTTGCACATAAGGCTTTTCTGTAGAGCCCTGTGGAAGCAGGTCTGGTTTAGCAACTGCTCTTGGGGGTGTGCGTGCCAATTATATGGTTGTCTCCCATCTTAGTTTGCATAGACACAGACACCCTTTTCAAGTCATACCTCAGTCTGAAAACATGCAAGAATGGTATGGGAACAATAAGGCTTCTCATGCCTCTTCAGATGTGACTTTACGAACAAAAAGCAATGTGAGAAGTATCCTGAAGACTCAAAGCAACGATGGCATAGGTTGGACAGCTAAAGAAGCAAAGAAAGTATCCAAAAGTTGCACTTTTTCACAACTAGCATGCATATTTGGGGACAGTAAAGTATGCAATCTCTTTTCTGACCTTTCTTACTGTGGGGACAATCCAAGGCTGGTTCCCCATCCTTAATATCCTCAAACCTGCAAATAAAATAGACAATTCCAGGTATGAAGCCACTGAAAAAATGTGCAGAGAAATCTGTTAATGTTGACCTCTCCCTCCCTCCCTCCCTCCCTCCCTCCCTCCCTCCCTCCCTCACAGACACACACACACACACACACACACACACACACAGAGAGAGAGAGAGAGAGAGAGAGAGAGAGAGAGAGAGAGAGAGAGAATCTGCCATTTGTGCATCTGACCTGCTCTCTGTATGACAAGTAATGGATTGGCCTACAAAACCTGGACGCATCCATATATTGTAAGCAATGAATCCTGCTTCAAAGACCCTCTTTCTGCTCTCCCTGTGTTTCTCCTCCTGTGAAAAGCTTCAACCCAACATAGCTTAGCAGGGAACAGGTTGCCAGGTAATCATGCTGTAAGAATGCAAGAAAAGACCTACCACATCACACTGAGTTCAATCTAGTTCAGACTCCTTTGGTCTCTTGATGCTAACTACAACTTCCACCATCCCCAGACAACATGGTTAAGGGTCAGGGGTGTTGTTTGTAGTCTACCAATATCTGAGGTCCCAAATTTGGGAACAAGTGATTCTAGTCCCTGTCTTTCAGAGGGGGACAAACTGCTTGAATAGGGAGGCTCCATTTCACAATCATTTATAACCATATTCAGCTCAAAGGCTGATCCTCCATAAATCTGACTTTTCAAAAGCTATTTATGGCAATGGCCTTTGCAGTATCAAGCAGCAATGAATCAAAAGTTCACTATAGGCACTGGACAGTATTCTGCACTGCCTCCGTGCTAGTGAAAAGGTCCTCTATGGAACAGGGAGGAAGCAGTTCCCAAATCAAAGCAGAAAGGAGTGGGGCAGGTGAGTATCATTTGGGTAAAGGAGAATTACTGCTCATTTCTGGACTCCGGTTCCCACTGAGTTAGCAGTGCATTCCACTAGTGCAACAGAACTAGCAGAGGTGCAGTGGCAGTTATTCACTTTGTTGGTCCTGAAATCAGGTTGTTTCTAATTGCACCTAATGCAGCATAACTGAGACCTGTCAAAATAATGCCTGAAGCACATTCACTAGCAATGGGTGGTGTGTCATAAATCTGACTCTCTTGCTGGAATGAAAATAAGTAATGAAGTTTTCTTATATAAGAGTCTCTTTTCTAAACAACTTAAAATGCCTCCTCCTTCCTCTCTCATACACCAAGCATTCCAAGGGATCCACTCTGGGTCACTGGATCAGAGCCATCTATTAAGGCAGAGACAGTGATATACTATCATCTTTCTCTAACAATCACAGGCTTCATAGAACACAGAGCCTCAAGAGCATCATTTGGTATATTGCTTCCCACCCACTCCCTAGCTCCCACTGGGATGTTATTTCTACCCGTGACCTCTCTGTCCAGGCAGCTGAAGCCAAGTGTGTTGGCCCAGATGTGGAGACAACCTACATGTATTCCGATTTTTCTATATCCCAAGCCCGTCGCCATTCTCCTCTTGCATTCTTGTGGCGCGCCAGACGCTCAAGATCGATCTGATCCCGTTCTTTCTTCCATCGCATGTATTCTGACCGCTCTCTCCCCATCAGGTTGCAACCTTTGTCTCCTGGGCTCTTCATCAGGGGGGATTTCCCTCTTTCCTGATTGAAACAAAAGGGTAACTAATTAATGCGGCAGCACCCTCTGAATGACTAGAGTTCAGGTTTTAAATCGCACTACTGCAACATTCTTAATTTTCATCGTACTGCAAGGCTAAGAAGTCTCTTATGGCTTCTCTGTGTGAGGTGTTTATTGTACTGTATACCCTCACTCACAGAAGTTTGTAGGCCCTTTTCATGATCTTTTCTTCTTCCAGGTCCTTGCCTGTGTTTTGCAGCCATTTTCATGGCTTTTTAAGTGAAGAAAGTCTGATATTAAATTTCAAATTGAAATGAAAGGCTTACGTATTATTGCAACAACTATAACACAAGAGCACCTTATGGTTGGCATATACAAAAGAAAGAGAAGGACAACACCCCTGAAGAAAACCAGGATGTACCCTTCCTCTCAGAAAAGAAACAGAAGAAGCTTCATTGTAGTAGTCAGTCAAACACCTCATGCAGAGGCCTTAGTTTGCTTATCTACTGGTTGGTCATCAGTTTTTCTTATGTTGTGGCCACCCCATTACTTTCGAACACAATGGCAACATTTGAAAAATCAACAAGCATCAGTGATGTGGGATTGTGCAGCTTGGCAACACTTATCCATAACTAAACCACACTTCTCCAACCTAATGCCATCCAGAGATTTTGGAGATCAACTCCCATCCGTCCCAGCCAGTGTGGTTAATGATTAGTAATGCACTTCCTCTACACTGGGGTAATCAGTAGAGATTACAGCTGTAGGCAAGTGCAAATGGAGTTTATTGATAACTTTAGAAAAGGTCTTGTGCAGTGTTCCTTATTGTTTTTGGTCTTCAGGGCTCCAATTAGAGTTCGTTAGGTCTTCTTATCTATTCTTTCCTCTTATCCTGTTGAGTCTTCTACCTTGCAATTTTGGCAGAGCCCTCCCCACTTCAAAATATTGTACGGAACCGAACATTAAAAGTTTAGCAGATAACTAGTGTTCATATTATGCAAAGACATTGCTGTAGTACTGCTCTTTCCCTTTGCTAAGCACACTTTGTAGATGGGATAATCAAATACACAGACAGTTCCTCTTTCTTAGGATGTTGTACATCCCCAAGGGGGTCATCCTGCATTGCCAAGAGTCTTGGGGGATGCACATCCATGCCGGGAACACAATACCCAAAGCAGCCCCAATAGGGTCAATAGAAAGAGGAGAAGCTAAAGGAGCGATGCCCAATGGGTCACTGTTTTCTCACCACCATTAGCTGTAGCACAGTAACCCTCAAAGTAGCTTTGGAGATGTTCCCCTCCTAAAGACCTTATGGACATTGCTGCTTTCATGTCACTACTGCTTCTGAGTCTCTGGAGGATCCTGATGACACAACAGCTAATTTATTGCTGCAATGAGCAAAGGTGAAGAGCCCATTTGGGATGCTTGGGGCTGCTGGGGAGTGACCACAGCCACCACTTTACTGTTCCCAGGCATTTCATGGCTGAGCTCTTGCTTTCCTCCCATCACTATTTGATGCTGTTATTTTGGATGCTATTTTTATCTGCTGCTATTTTGGATTTGTTATATTGCTTCTATCTCCCCCACGGTTTCATGTTCCTTAAACTGGATGTCATTGTAATTAGGAGTTTATTGGTTTTTAATATTGCAAGCTACTTTGGAGATGATGTAGGACTTTAGCGGTAAAAATTAAAAAAACAGCATTTTAATTTACAGCTATCTTTTCATTTGGTCTATTATTATTAAAATACCTTAGTATACCACTATTTGTAGATATTTCATAGTGGTTCACAAATTCACAATAAAAGACAAAAGAGGAAGCAAACAAAGCAGTATGAAAGGAATGCAATAGTCAATTCTAAAAATCTCTGCTAGTGAAAGACTTTTGACCTCTTCCCTATTTCTTTCCCTTCATGTGTCATGACTTTCTAGACTGCAAGCCTGCAGACAAGGACTCTCATGGTTTAGTAATTATTTCTAAGCTGCTCAGGAAGACTTTCTGGTTGAGGAGCAGGAAGAAAATAGTCTAAATAATTAAATAACATGAATAAAAGTCCCAGTTAAATGAAAATATTTTTACTGGCCTGCTATCCTCTTTTAGGAGGATAATTAATCCACTGCTTGATTAAATAGAGGGTCTTGGGCTTCTGCAATTTTCATATCCTAATTGTATCATTGTGCTATAAGAGTCATTTGGCTAGCTGAGCCAGAGATGGTAGAGCAGAGAAGCAACCTAGTTCTCTGCAGCTGTTTACAATTCCCATCAGCTCCAGCCAGCATGACCAATGATCAGGGAGGATGGAACTTATCCAAAACATTCAAAGAACACCAGGCTGCCTAGGCCTGAGCTAGAATACATGAAGGGGTAGAGACATCTGGGTTCCAATATTTTAGGAATCCAAGACTCTAGAAATGTTCCTCATTCAGATACCTTCCAGATGTTTGAGACTATTAAATTCCACAATCCTTTACCATCAGCCATGTTCTACAAGATGGCTGAAAGAGGAGAGGAGCATTTATCTTCCTCAGTGACCCATTCAAATAGCATACAAGTATATATTGTACAAATACAAATAAGATTTCTGTCAGTCTGGGATTTAGAACCTACTTGCAAAATGTAATGGCAGAACTAATTAAGCAGGAGAAATCTACAACAGATCAAATGAGTCTAGATTTTTTGAATCCAGTTATGTTTTACCAAGTTGTGCAGATTCTATGGATTTTCAGGCTATTTCTTTAACCTTCTTTCTTTAAAATCTCACTCTCCTGAAAGGGAAGGCTGATCCTATTTAACCCTTACCATTGCCTTACCCATGCTGGTACACTCCACCATCCCTGACACTGGCCATGCTGGCTGGGGCTGAAAGGAATTGTAGGGAAAACATCTGGTGGAACCTAGGCTGCCTTACAAGGACCTGTGCACTGGGTGACACAGGCCAGGATACTTCTGTCCATACCACAGAAAGGATACAACGACTAAGGCCCCTTGAGGAGCCCACAGCTAAGGATGGGATCTGAACTTGGGGCTTCCTTCTTCATATTCAGGTACTTCTTCATACTACAGAGCTATAAATGTGCACACCTGTATAGCTGGTCCCTCAAGTACAGTGAGCTCAGAACAGCCTGCATAATGAGCATCAAATGTACAAGTCAGATCAATGTTCTTTGAGTAGGGAATTGTCTGCTTGTGCTGCCTGTGGCTTCATGATTTATTGTTCTACCCTGTGTCATAACAGTCTGGTCTAGTCTAGTCTGGCTTGAATGCTCAAGAACTGAAGAGAAGAGAAGAGAAGAGAAGAGAAGAGAAGAGAAGAGAAGAGAGCTTGGAACAAAGGAACATGTACCGGAGAGAGAAGCTATCAATGCAGCTGGCATTAATACATAGTCCATTAGAGATGAGTGCCAACCAGCTACACTCTGGTAGCACGGGGAATAGCTCAATATCCCATGATGTTAATAGCGCTCCATAATTCTCCCTTCCAAGGTGGCCACCCCCATTCTTCCTCCAAACAAGAATTAATCTCCTTGCCATTTTGTTGCAGTTCGACACAGACGGGAGGAAAATTAGAGACCAAGAAACCTGTTGCCAAGGAGACACACCTGTGTGGGCGGGCAAAGGAGGGAAGGAACAACAATGCTCCACTTCCCTACCAAAGAGAGCTGTGGGGTCTGACAAGCCCATTCATACGTGGGAGGAGAAGTAAGAGGTTAGAACATCTATTGCGAGCAGCTGGAAAAGCCCTGCTGGGTTTGGTGGGCCCACAGTTCTTCATACCTCGTAGATGTGCTGGTTCTAAGACTCCCCAGCAGTATTGCTTCCGCTCTCTCCCTGATCTTTTTCCATGACTATACGTACCTCAGCAGGCAGACATGGGTGTTCAGGACTCCATAAGGTAGTGAGAGAAATTAAGAGATGTATTTATATCAAAGAAACTTCTGGAGCACTGGAATACTATGTGTATAAAATCTGTAAATTGTTGGGGAAAATCTGGGAGATTAATCTAGTCTGGAGTCCTGACTGAGTTAGGCTCCAGGGGAGGGGGCTGGCTGCTTAGGCACTCACAGAGGCTTTGGTATAGAGAAATCATCACAACCAAAGTGACAGTTACGTACAGTGGGTCGAATCACAAAGTGAGGTCACATCCAGTTAGGAAAGCCAGGTTTGGTAAGCAAGGCAGAAACTCTCAGAACCTCAGAAGGCTTTCTGCAGGACCCGCCTGGTCACAGTCGAACCTCATGAAGGAATCTGTTACTCCTGCACGGGACTCTCAGTGACTGAGGGCTTAAGTAGCCGAGTCAGCTCTTGTCCTTCACAAGCTCCATCCCTGCTGACCCTGGGGCCCTGTGCCTCCCCAAAAGACACACTCCACACTATCAGCTTCACTGCTCAGACCTACACAAGGCAGCCCTTTCTGTAAGCAATGTGCTAGAAAAGTGCTTTGGGTTTACCATAGCACAGTAATACAGAGATAAGAACTTTCCACCAGCTCAGTACTGCAGAAAGGGTGAGCGTTTCAGCAAGGCCATGGTGAGATGGAGAAAACCAGTCAGAGTAGGGCAGGGGTCCTCAAACTTTTCCACCAGGGAGCCAGTTGAAAGCTGCGGTGCTGGAAAGGTGGTGCCGGTGGTGCATGTGGGCTGGGCCCGGGCCGGGGGTGGCGCATGCAGACGCCCGTGCTGAGGCGGGCACGTGGCGCACGGCGAGCATGGGAGTGGGTGAACACGCACTGCAAGGTGGGCGCACAAGTCAGGGGCTTGCTCGCTTGGAGATCGTTTTCTCAGAGTGCGCAAACTGCTGCCTCCCCACATGCGGGGCTAGGTGGGCGGCAGCGGGCGCGGCAGGTCCAAATGGGCATGGCGAGCTGGATAAATGGGCATGGCGGGTCGGATCCGGCCCCCAGGCCATAGTTTGAGGACCCATGGTGTAGGGCTTTAGGAGCACATGGGGATGGCTGGGAGAAGCAGCAGCAGACCAGACAGGGAAACTCTGGGATGCCCAATTCCCTACCCTTGCCTTCAGTTC